TATCAAAGATGTGATGATCGAGAGTACTGCAGGGGGTGCGCACGGCTCCACTTTAAAGAAAGTTGTGTGCCCTCCCAATGAAAATCGTCTTTTTTATTGAAAAAAAAAGTATCCCATCATCCCACTTTGAAAAAATTGTTTATATGTCTTTTGTGTCCTCAGAAAATTTCTCTTCAAATCTCCAATCATTTCTTTTCTCTTTGGCACATCCTTGAAAATTCTTGTCACTGAAACTAATGATTTTTTTTTAATGTCAATAACAGACAATTCGTAACAATTTTTTAATATTTTCATCTAGCCTCTTGCTCAGCGAATATAGGATTTTTCTCTAAACAAAAAAACACAGTTAATTTTATCAATGAAATCTTCTAAATACGACTTTCTAATTGAGAATATATAAAGACTTACAAGTTGATTGTTATCCTCGCCAAATTTTACTACTCTTACCCGTAATGAGTCAAGATCTATAGCGAAAAAAAAAGGCAAGAGTATTTTGTTAGAATCATTTTTGGTATTTAGGCATTTTCGAAGGATGAACAAAACAATTTTTCAACAAGATGTATGGCGTGATTGACTTATCCATCGCAGCATTTGATAGTACACACATTGGAATGAGTCATTGGAACAGAAAGAAAGAATACAACTATTTACACAATAGGCTAATTGAATTATTCAATCGAAATTCTTTCTCAAACCTTCATATTTTCAAATGAAATACAGTTGATCGATCATTATCAAAGTACTTTACGGTAGAATTGACTATCATAAATTATTCATGTAATTGGTTTGAATATAATGAAATATTGTTGCAGAAAAAGCGTCATCTATAAGTTTTTTTTTGTTGAAATTGTTATTAACAAAGATATTTTATAATACAAATAATTCAATTCATTAATTTTTCAATATAATTTTTTATTTAATGGTGAATTTTTTTTGTGTTATAAAGAATAAAGTAAAGATCTCGCTATTGCGTATAGTACGAAGTAATGTTGACAATATTTGATCCGTTTGTGTATAACACATAAGGAATTCTGTTGCAATTTTTTTTTGCTAGAAAATACGTTATGTCATTTTGTAATTTTTGCATGGATTGCTCTTGTTACGTTTTTTTTTAATTTCGAAGAACGAACAGAAAGAACATGAGAAACGTAAAATGCAACAATTCTAAACTAAAGTTGAACGAATTTAGGTTTTTGTTGTATTATGTGGAAACGAAAATATCAATCACGCTTATTTTAAGATTTTCAACAGTTTGCATTTATCATATTCATACTATGAAAGTGAATAGTGTTACAGTGCAGAGAATGTCTCAGGACGCGTGCTCTGTAGATAACGAGTTTGTCGCGAACATACAAGAACAGGGTAATCTCTTTTTTTTTTAAGATACAGGGTCTGAAGCATAATATTTGAGTCCTACAGGACACCCAAGTCATTTAATTGATCATGATCCAATAAAGCTTTTGTCTAGTGGTGAAACTCGTCATGATTTTCTGTTATTATGAACAGTAGCCAAAAGAGTAAATGTCATACTAACGAGTAGTGCTTCGATGGAAAGATTATTTAGCTCAATTGGATTGACATTTACTCAAAGACGAGCACGTTTATTAGCGAATCAAATTGACAACATTATTTATTCGTTCTTACGAGAAATTCAATAAAGAAGAAAACTTATCGATTTTCATTGTTTGTCTGTTTATATTGATAACACTTTGAATTCTATATCTTTATATTTATTTTTATTATTGTTTTGCTCACCCTATGCATGTCAAATATTTTTTTAATTTTTTATTTAATTTCTACTGGAAAACATGCGATAAAGTTTCTTAATATGACTATTGTAAATAGATTTTGTATCAATAGAAGATTTATGATACTTAGCATCGTACTTCGTATGCAGACAAGTTTAATATCCTTGTCAAAAAAAAGCAATGAAAAGATCGTCCTGGCAGGACGAATTTTTCGATGTCATGCCCTGCGTCCTGCAAAACAGGATGGCTGAATGAAAATCTCCAGAAAAACGAAAAAAACCGTCCTGTGATGTTTTAGAGAGAAATATTGGTAAACGTCACCTTCGAGTCGTTATTTCCATTTATTTTTATGGATTCAATCGGTCTTTTCTCATTTCTGTTCTACTCACTTACATCGTTTGTTCGAATATGATACAAGAAATGATTCTACATTGATTATATTTCATTTTTCTCCTAATTATTAACTGTGAACTTGTTCTGATTGTTGTTTTTACCTTCTAGGTAAAAAGAATGACATAATTTCAATAAGAAATAAAGGCGATAAAATAAAATAACTGTTTAGCAAAGGTTAGACATTGTGTCATTTATTATCGAAGTCCATAGAGTACATTTAGTTGTCCATTATATCTTCTGCTTTCGTTCTATCAATAGTAACGTAGAAAACCATGTCTATTCATATATGCACTTGATTAGTGAACAGAATAAAATTGAAAAGTGTTGAATAGAAAATCTTACTCTACTTTTCCTGTGGCTATCATTATTCTTTTAACAGTGACATTCAATCCGATATGAAAACAGATGTATTGATATTAGAATGGAAGACTTTCCTGAATAACGTTCACCAACATATATTTTTTATTATTCCACAATATAAATAATTATAAATATTCAAAGCTTTGAAACCATCATATCACTAATAAAAAATAACAAACTTCGATCGTTTTACTAGTACTTCGTCATAAGAACATCGTCAGCAAATGATGGTGTAAAGAAAATTCTTAAAAATATCTAATCGAGCATTTTGATACCAAAACTTTTAAAAAAAATACATGTGTTTATCTGTTTCTAGTGGAGTGAATTTAATTTTTTTGATTGTTTATAGGTATCTAATCAATTGAATGATGCGAGTACTCTTTAAACAATAACATAGAACTACTATCCATTTCAAAATAGAAGATGAATGATTACGAATCGAATAACTCGAGAACACAAACAGCAGGCGACCTGTGATTTTCATCATTAGACAGAGGAGACTAGGGGACGTAAATCTATGAAAAAATTTGATTGGCCAGTAATTGACCAATCGAATGAGCGGTCGTTTGACATTTTTAGGAGAGCTTTCAGAATGCTTTTATCGTTTCTTTTTCAACTTCAATTAAACCATTCAATAGAAAAAATTGTTCTGTTTCGATCTACACAAGGTCGAGCTCGATGGCATGCTTCGTTCAGGAGCTATGCGCATTTTCCGGAGACTCCCGAAATCGGTCAGGTGACGTTCAATCACCCATAAAAGCAGAGATGCAGAATCTGCCGTAAAAACGAAAAATTTCCCCAACTAAAAAAAATAAAAAGTAAATAAACCAACAAGAGAGATAGTTGATAGCACAAAGGCAAGAAACTTGTGGATAGAGCAATGACACTTGGTATTTTTTTCACATAGAAAAAGTTACTTTTTGAAACAACCTTGCAATTAACAAATTTCCAAAAATTTCCCCCTTAACAATTTTTCAAAAATTTTCCCAAGCGGGCGCTGGCGCACACGGGTAGATTCTGCATCTCTGGATAAAAGGGTCACATTATAGGTTATCGACCAGGCTGAGTCTAGTGGTGATGTTTGTTTTTGGTTTCAAAGCGGTCTGAAACCACTATATCAAGATTTTCGATATATCTGTTCTCTACTCCACATAGCAGCAAAAGCTAGATTTTCAAAAATCTTGATATAGTGCTCTGAGATTACTTTGGAACAAAAAGCAAACATCACCACTAGACTCGGCATGATCGATTACATATAATGTGACCCTTTTATGGGTGATTGAAAGTCACCTGCCCGATTTCGGGAGTCTCCGGAAAATGCGCATAGCTCCTGAACGAAGCATGCCATCGAGCTCGACCTTGTGTAGATCGAAACAGAACAATTTTTTCTATCGAATGGTTTAATGGAAGTTGAAAAAGAAATGAAAAAAGCATTCTGAAAGCTCTCCTAAAAATGTCAAACGACCGCTCATTCGATTGATCAATTACTGGCCAATCAAATTTTTTCATAGATTTATGTCTCCTAGTCTCCTCTGTCTAATGGTGAAAATCGCAGATCGCCTGCTGTTTGTGTTCTCGAGTTATTCGATTCGTAATCACTCATCTTCTATTTTGAAATGGATAGTAGTGGTATTAACATTTTTATCGTATGAAAAAATACGAGAATTTTTTACTGATAATTTTAGTGCTATTTCAACAAAGTGATAAAATAAATTCCTAATTAGCGCAATATATTAACAATTGGAATTTTATTATTAATATAGAAAACGAACTAATTTAAGAAAAAGAGAACAAGAAAATAAAAAATAAAAAATAAATGTCGATTACATATAAATGTACACATATGTATAACATCAACTGTTATATCTATATAGAAAAACAAAAGAATTTTCATAATTGAAACGATATTAATTGTCCATTATCATTCGCAATCAAAGCCGTTAATATCTTATTTGGATGTAATGTTGGTTCAACATCATTTGAGCGTTTTGGTTTATTTTCTTCCACATGAACTTTATATTCTCGATGATTGTTTTCATTATTATCTTCATGATTGCTTATATCCGATCCGATAATACGCAACATAACATGATTATATAATCTTATAGGTATTACATACAGGTAACTTGAATATCTATTTGAATGAATGTTCAAGAAATATCATCTTAATAGAAATAAAAAAACGAATTTAGAATTAGTGGAAAATTTTCTTTTACCACCAGGAAATCGAAGATCCAATAAAAGTCGACGATTAATTTTTTGGTGATGTATTAAATAAAAGAAATAAAAGATTGCCGAATTTTCTTTGAATGTCACTACAATCAATGAAAAAATTTTTAAATAAAATATTCTTATTATTAGTTTATTTCTTCTACCAACAGATGGCAAAGAAAATTTTGTGTCTTTTTTTCTTTTATTTTACTTGTTTAACTAGAAAATAATGTTCTTTATCATATCTAAATTTAATATTTTTATTATAATATATTTCTGTTTTAGATAATGACTTCTAGATTACATTGTTTTTTTGATATTAAAATTGATGGAAATAATGGTCTTGTTTAATCTTTATCTTAGTTTTTTTTTAATTTTTTGTTTTCTTTAGCTGGTCGAATTGTATTTGAACTTTTTAATGATATATGTCCACGTACATGCGAAAATTTTCGCTGTTTATGTACAGGTAAAATCAGATTTTGTTTTTATTTTAGAAATTTTGTTAGAATTCAAATTCTAGGAGAAAGAGATCGTGTTTCAACATTAAATAAAAAATTATATTATAAAAAATGTCATTTTCATCGAATTGTTAAAGATGTTATGATTCAATCGGGAGATTTGACTAAAGGTAATTTTCTTTTTAGTTTATAGAATAATCAATTGACGTTTTAAAATGAAAAGGTAAAAGAAAGAAGAAAGTGAGTACTGATTTTTATCTCTTTTAATCACACGAAGGATGAATGATAGAAAATCAAAATAAGATTTTTTTTTGTATCTATCTGATCTTGAAATTTTAGGTAATGGCACTGGTAGTGAATCGATTTATGGTGGGACATTTAATGGTAAAGACTTTCGAATTGTTTTGAAAGAAAAAAATATTAATAAAAATTTTCTAGATGAAACTTTTCAAATCAAACATGATCAAGCATATCTTCTTTCAATGGATAATCAAGGTCCCAATACAAATGGATCACAATTTTTTATGTAAGAATAAAAATTCATTTAAAAAACAAAATTCTGTGGTGTGTTTTAGTACAACATCGAAAGCATCCCATCTTGATGAGTAAGATCTTATTAATTAATTTCAAAAAATATTTATCTTCTATTTAGTAAACACGTCGTTTTTGGTCGTGTTATATCTGGTCAATCGGTAGTCGATGCTATTCAGAATATACCAGTTGATTCAAATAGTCGACCATTACAAGTTGCTGTTATAGCTCATTGTGGACAACTTATTCTCGATTCAAGTAAAAATTGTTAATCGATTTTTTTTTTGCCTTTTATTCATGATTTATTTATTAATTTAGAAAACAATAAAGAAAAAGAACATAAAATTTCAACAAAAGATGAAAATGATAAAAAGAAAAAGAAAAAAAAACATAAACATAAAAAGAAAAAGAAGAAAAAACATCGACGAAAAAATGAAGAAAAACATTTAGAATCAAATGAAATGTCTGATCGAGATATAATGGTACATATAAATGATGACGATGATAATAATAGTAATAATGAAACATCCCATACTAGGTATGAAAATAATTTAATCGACATTTTCCATTAATATGAGTTTTTCTTTAGTGTAAGTCATTATCATTCATCAAAAAGAATTGATTCAAGTGGTCGGTTAGTTAAAGGTCGTGGTTTTATGGTATCATATCATGTTTTTTTATTTAATTTATTCTAATCTTCTATTTTCTATATAGAAATATACTGGAAAAAGTCGTTCAAGATCACGTACACCACCACATTGGCATTCAGCTGTTAAAGATCGTAAACTTAATCCTTCATCATCTCCACCACCAACAGTAACAAATGTTCAACATCAAAGAAAAAATCCTCAATTATATCGACGTCGTCATTCTTCATCATCAACAGATGATTCTCGATTACGTCATTATCGCCGTTCAAAATTTCCACCATCTTCATTTTCTCGTTCTCGTTCACCATTGCCATCGATCAATCAATCTCAATCATCTCATCATGGTGGTTTCAAAGCTCCACTAGCTTTACCAATTGTTGGGAATATATATTGGTTCCGACAATCAGTACACGAGGTATTTGGGTTAACATCAAATGAAAGTACGGATTCATCAAGTTTTCTATTAATAACAAACAGTAGCTCAAGATCCTCATCAAGCAAGAAACGAAATAGAGCTAAACATCGCCCTTGCCTTGTCCGAAAAATAACGGAGGAATACATTGAACTTTTTATTATTACAACCTTTCATAAAAATAATCCATCTGATCCAATAGTTCTAGAAGGTTTGACACGTGATTATCTTCTTAAGCGATTAATACCAATTTCGCCAGAAACAGACTTCACGGAAACAAGACAAATTTTAGTAAAACGAACACCAAATTCTGATTTTACCAAGAAAGGATATTTAGTCCTCGTGCCAATACGTAAACCAATATCAACAAGATACTATGGACCATCAATGGGATATATTGAAACAGATGATTTGCTTTATATCCAGACGAAATTAGAACAAGCAAATACATACGTTGACAATGATGATGATGATGATGATGATGATGATATTAGTTTCAATCAAACTGGATCATCATCAATAGCAATATCTAGAAGTTATAAAAGTCCAGATATTAATTCAAATGAAAAAGTTAAAATTTGGATTAAAAAATGTAAGTTAAAACAATAATTAAATTAAATTAAATATATTTAATTTATTTATAGATCTGGCCCACAATCAAAGTGTTGATGATGACGATCAACAAACAACATTGATCCAGGATTTAGTTGATCAAGCTAAAGATTATTTATTACTATCTCGAGAAAGATAAAATATGCAAGGATCAAGAACAAGATCAAGAAAATCACTTAAATCAGGAGAAGTTCTTTTTGCTGGTTTGTTTATTTTTGTTTTTTATTTTTTGAAATTATTTTAATTAGTTTTTTTTTCTTAATAAAAATAGTTGGTGGGTGGTGTTCAGGTGATGCTATAGCAAGTGTTGAAATGTTTGATCCATCATCAAATGAATGGAGAGCTGTTGCATCTATGTCAAAACGAAGATGTGAGGTGGGAGTTGGTGTATTAAATAATCTTTTATATGCTATTGGTGGACATGATAGTGTTAGTTATTTGAATAGTGTTGAACGGTAAAAATCAAAAAGAGAATATTTCTCGATTTTTGTTTTTTTGTTTAGATTTGACCCTCAAACAAATCAATGGAGTAATGAAATAGCACCAACAAGTTCATGTCGAGCAAGTGTTGGTGTTGGCGTACTTGATGGTTATTTGTTTGTGGTTGGTGGACACGATGGAATTTCTTGTTTAAATCTTGTGGAAAAGTAAATTGGATTTTTTTTGAGAAAATGAAATTTGTTTTTCGTTCATGAAGATATGATCCATCGGTTCAACAATGGATTCGTGTTGCATCAATGGGAACAAAACGATTAGGTGTAGCTGTAGCAATACTTGATGGATATCTTTATGCTATTGGAGGATCAGATGGACAATGTTCACTTAGTACAGGTAAAGAAAAATATTTTTATTTAGTAAATATTATTGTGTTTGTGTAGTTGAAAGATATGATCCAAAAGCAAATAAATGGTCATCAGTATCATCGATGAATACCCAACGAAAACATCTTGTTTGTGCTGTTTATAATGGATATATATGTATGTAATATATTCAAGGAAATTATTTGATTTGTATATGAATATATAGATGTGGTCGGTGGTCGAGATGATGCAACAGAATTATCGACAGCAGAAAGATTTAATCCAAAAATAAATCAATGGTCACCAATTGTGACAATGAATTCAAAGCGAAGTGAAGTAAGATTGATCAATAAAAAAAGTAAATAATTTATTGATTTTTTTTTATTTACAGGTTCGGCTTGCTGTTGTTAATAATCATTTAATGGCTATTGATGGATTTGATGTAAATTCTTATATTTGAATTATAATTAAAATTTAAAAATTTTCTTTTTTTTCTTGCATAGGGTGCAATTTGTTTAAAAAGTGTTGAATTATATGATAGTGAATCTAATAGTTGGAGATTACATAGTGGAATGAATTATCGACGATTAAGTGCTGGAGTGGGTGTAATAAGAGTTCAACAATATGATTTAATTTTATATAAATCAAATTCAACATCTAATATTGTATCAATCCCAGGTGATTCTCGCTCGGTCGGATTCCGTCGGATTCAAATAATTGCGTCCGTATCTTGTCGGATTTTTGTCGGAATCCCATGAGCCGGATTCCGACTGTCGGATCTGATCGGACACGTGCAAAATCCGATAGGATTCTGTCGGATTTTGTCAGTTTTTATCGGATTCCGACGAAATCCGGACCGGAATTCTGTGCAAGGATTGCTTGTCTTGGGAACATCATCATATCAATCTGAAAAATCGTTCACTTTCAATATTAGTTGATCTTTGAATGAGTAACTATTTTGATATTTGTTATGTATATTTAATGATGTTGTTGTTCTCGGTGTACTGTAGTTTCTTTCATTGCGCTCTATCTTTTTGTATAGTTTTATTTATATGATCATAGTTAAAAGAAATATAAGTTAGTTTTATAAATACAGATCTTCAAAATCAAGATGTGTATTATGAATTAGATTCATTATCAAAATCAACTGATCAAGCATAAATTTTAATTGATCCAAATACATTTTCTGAAGATGATACAATAGCTATACAATCATTTCATTTTTTATTTGATGGAAAAATATTTTGTTATAGATTGAAGCAACAATATCAATTGAAGTTTAGGTTAAATTATTGTTTCTTTCTACTAATAGTGTATCTGATATTGCTTCAGATTAGTCGACGATTTATTTTATAGATGTTCATTCGAACAAAATTCTGATCATTACACATTGGACAACAGATAATCGTAGTATCTTCTATGAAGCATACGTAGCTAATTTTGACAATAATCCCACTATTTGCATAGAAAATCAAAAAAAGACTGAAGAAAATGCGATAAAAATTTCTTTTTTTTTTTAAAGTAAAAGTTTTGTTTTAGTTTTTTTTTCATAACCAACAGATGAAGTGACACCAGTTATGATTGAAATAACTTGTATTGAAATGCAAGAATTTTATTTTTATCGTCTTGATACACCTCGTTCATCTGATGTTTATCTTGTTCGTTGTATTTGTCTAGTAGTAAAACTTGTCGTGATTTTTCTGTTATTATGAATAGTAGTCAAAAGAGTAGATGTCATACCAGTGAGTAGTGCTTCGATGGAAAGATTATTTAGCACAGTTGAATTGACATTTACTCAAATATGAACACGCTTATCAGTGAGTCAAACTCACAACATTATGTATTCGTTCTTATGAGAAATTCAAGAAAAAGTAACAAAAAGAAAATTTATCAATTCACGTTGTTTGTCTGTTTATATTGATAACACTTTGAATTCTATATCTTTATGTTTATTTTTATTATTGTTTTGTTCATCTCATGAATGTCAAGTATTTTTTTATTTTTCATTCTATTTCTGCTGGAAAACCACCAGCTTCCGGAACTTGATTTTTTTGGAAATTATTGAGATTTTTCTGTAAACTTCATTATTTATGTCATCATCACACGAAAGAAACTGGACTGAAGGCAGATACCTAGCTGAGAGTGGAAGCGAGAATGATACTTAATGCTGGCGAAGGCTAGAGTCCGTCGGATCCAAAATTTTCGGGCTCAGATCCCGACCCGGTCGAACTATACTTTGATATTTGTAATGAAATTTTTTTATTGGAATTAGCTAGTTACCCAAAAGACATGATATACTTTTTTCCGACTTTTTGTGTTCAATAACTATTGCGTCCTACACATTTCTTAGGCAATTAGAATCCATTGCACCCTAAAATTTTCGAATCCAGAACCAACCTGACGGGATCTAGCAAAGACTGACTCTTCAAAACTATGGCTCTCTGTTAGTACAGTTAAAATGTATTATATGTCGTCGATAGGATAAGTTCAGATAAATCCGGTCGTTTAAATAAATCCTGGTAGCTCTCCGCTCTTTAATGTCTTGCTCTGCCTCCTGCAAAACAAGATGACTGAATAAAAATATCCTATAGAATGAAGAAAATCGCCCTATGATGTTTTTTGTTCCTGAGAAAAATGTTGATGAACATGACCTTCGAATTATTATTTACATTTTTTAGATGGAGCCATCTCTCGTCTATCATCTTTTTTTCTTTCTATCATTGTTGTGGAATCATCATATATATAATATATGTATGTATTTCATCTATATCCATAGGCAGAGGAGCCATTACGATTGGGGAAGCTTAAGTATTGCCTAAAAACTGAACAGGAATGCTTGGGAAGACTTGATATTTGAGAAAATTTTACGAATCTCGTTTTGAATTTATATCGAATGTCCCAAAAATATTATTAGCAGAGTTTATTTTGTATATATCTTTCCATACACATATAGTACAATCTTGAAATTTTTTTTTTAACGATGCGTTTTGGTAGTTTTTAAAATAACTGTCAAACAAATCCTGTTGACTTACTCTGATGAATTGTAGAAAGTAATGATACTACTAAAGTAAATTGTTTCCTATTCAAAAATCGCCTTAAAATATTAAAAGTGCACAATCAGGTGATGTGTCGTTAAAATAGAGGAGCGAATTCGATTTGGAAAAGTGAAAAATTATAGTATCTTGTACGTCGTTGGTTTTAGCCCTTTCAAAATCGATTAAGACCAGCCAAGAGAACGTTTTACTTCTTTAGAAAAATTTCAAGTTTCCAGGATTTTTGTGCAAAGATAAATAAGAAATAGATATATTATGAATATTTTTTTATTTTCAATATAATGGGTAGCAGCAATATTTGATACATCCTTTCTTTCACTTTTCTAAGAACTGATCAGAACAATTAAACAGACCCTTGTCATGCAGCTGTCTTAGAGAATTCAGCAACAACTTCTAGGACTCATTCTTTCGGAATTCTTTCTATAAATGTCAGTGCTCATTTCATCGTCAAATGAAAGAAATTAAGGCAAAGACAAATACTTGGGTGAAGGTGGGTGTGGGTAAGATTTCGAGCGAAGACTAGTTAAGGGCGAGGGCTCATTCTTCAAGACTATAGATTCTTTTTTAGTATAGTCAAATTGTGTCTTGTGCTATCAAACAGAGAAACTCTATGATTTAAATAAATCCAATCAATCCCAAAAACTAAATGGCGGAAGATTCACAAATTTAATTGTGCATCTTTTGAAAGAATTTCAAGATTATATCATTTGTCTGTAGAAAGATATATGCAAAATAAACTCTGTTGAAAACATATCGGAACAATAGGTATTTCCTTAATAAGAGTTAGAGTTAGAAAGCTATAAAATCCGCCCCGCCCTCCCTCCTTCTTGCTCTTAATGTCACCTTCTCATCACTTCGTGAGAAGTTTTGAGCGTCCTCTAGATTATAATCGTTCTACCGCCTATGCTGAACACGATCTATTTTTGATCACTTGAGTTGGAGAAAAAAAGATTCTGATACATACAGGAAAGTTACGAAGTTCTCATTTCTGTTCTTGCATATGGTACGTCCGATGGAGCTCAAGTTTTTTTTCTAAGTACTTTGGTCAAATTGGGATGCACATTATTTTTCTTTTTCTACAATATGTTGTTCCTACGAAATTCTACAGCCTTTAAAAAATTAGCACCATTGAAAAAAAACAAGTTTTTTTCACGATGCTTCCAGTATTTTGCTTATCCCGAGCTCTAGCAACGACATTTTTAAAAGAAGAAAAAAAAAACACCCTGATTTGATCTTAGCTGTCACAAAACAATAAATTTTAAGTGGAAAAAATGCAGTATAGGGTTTTGTCTAGGAGGGGGAGAGACAACTTTTATTCGTTTTGGGCCTTCCTGATCCTCATATCTCGCTGAATGAAGCGTCTGGTAATTTCGAATCTATAATAATTTTTGTTCTACTTATTCGAGATTTATCTGTCTTGAAAGTTTTATCATCTTTCATCGAACTACTGCCGAAAAACTCCGGGAAAGGGTGGAGTTCTCTTAATTGTTATGCTCTGAAAATATATCCGACAGTGAGCGAAAATTATTGTTTGTATTAACGACTTGGCCTATTTAGTATTACAGTAAAACCCCTCTATAGTGCATACACACTTTAGACTTTTCAAAAGTGTCCGCTATGAGAGGTTGTTTTGTATTTTATTACTAAATTACGTTTGAGAAAGCTTTGTTGTATTAGGTTTTTATCACTCAATGACAATGTTTTATCAAAATATTGTTCTATGCGATCAGTTTTTATTTCATATGTACAGATATTGTGTCCGTGGTGCATCATATTAGTTTTTCATTTGTTAGAGTGCAGAGAGTAATTTTATTTATCGACTCAGAATAACTTGATGTATTGTAAATCAATGCATAAAAGGTAGAAGTACTATGCATTTACCTTCGAATATTGTCCTCTAAAGGCAATACAGTTTCTTGAAAAGTAATGATTCTCCCCTTCTCCATTCCGAACCCACCACGTTTACTAAAAGAAAAATTTTGAATTGCTATTATAATTTAACTTATTAGCATTTAAAATGGAAGTATCTACAACTGAATAAAATTTTCATATATACCTCTGGAAAAAATAAGCTTTAGTCTGTATTTTGGGAATATCGTTATCATAGCAGAATATTTTTTAATAAATAATGATATATTCTGAAAACGCGTGGAGTTTTCTATCAGCCTGTATATTTGCCTTTTTCGTTTGAATATATATATTACCAAAAACAATTGAGTGTAATGAAAGCACCTTCATATCCAGATTCCCACAGACTTGATTTTGTCACTGTCACCAAAATTAGTTTTTAAAATTTTTCATCACTATAGAATTATCTTTTGAAAAAAGTAATTATATATTCTGATAGAGCTTGAAATTCTCTATCATCCTGTATATTTACTTATTTCCTTATATTTATTTCTCGAAAAGAAAATTTGAGTACGGTGAACGCACCGTCAAATGACAAGTACCGAAAATCGTTACTTTTTTCCTTTTTTCAAAATATAGTTACTATACTAATAAATTTCTAAAAAATGAATTATAGATTCTGATAGAACTTGAAATTCTCTATTATCCTATATGTTTTTTTCTTGCCTTGCATTTATGTACTGAATGTGCTGTGGCACATAAATGTAAAATAGTGAACAAATGTACACGATGCTAGACAATTTCAAGCCCTATAAGAATCTGTGATTGCTTTTTAAAAATAAAATTTTCCATAAGAATCATAAATTTAAAAATAGAACTCCGAAAGCAACGAAAAACGCAAATTTTTGGTACTTGTCAATTGACGGTGCGTTCACCGTACTCAAATTCTCTTTTCGAGAAATAAATATAAGGAAATAAGTAAATATACAGGATGATAGAGAATTTCAAGCTCTATCAGAATATATAATTACTTTTTTCAAAAGATAATTCTATAGTGATGAAAAATTTAAAAAAGCAATTTTGGTGACAGTGACAAAATCAAGTCTGTGGGAATCTAGATATGAAGGTGCTTTCATTACACTCAATTGTTTTTGGTAATATATATATTCAAACGAAAAGGCAAATATACAGGCTGATAGAAAACTCCACGCGCTTTCAGAATATATCATTATTTATTAAAAAATACTCTGCTATGATAACGATATCCCCAAAAATACAGACTAAAGCTTATTTTTTCCAGGGGTATATATGATATATTTGTGGGTGACGATGAAGAAATCAATTAGTTGTTGTCACATATTCGGTATCACATAAATAAATACGCGTCTTTCTTACATTTCTATTTATAAAGATAGACTTTGTTCGTGTGTATTATCTTTTACGCACGAAACAGAGCCTGCCAAGTAGAAAAAGGAAATACAAGTAAATGGATACGATGACAAATGCTAAGTAAAAACAGAAAGAGCAAAACAAAAATTAATTGACAACCGCATATACTAATAGCATTGATGATGAGTAATCGATAGTTTCCTTCGATAGGTCGTTTTGTCTTAGCTCATCTATTTTTGTCACATATAATTCGACATCATTTATACGATATCTTATAAATAGACACGATTTCCAACAAATCGTATCAAACACAATTTACATTTTATTCTTCATTATCAATATACAATTACTTACATGTTGAATACACATATACAATTGTTATTCTATTTTCTACTTATTTGCTCTTATATAAATGCATTTATTCCATTTCCAGTTGTTGGAGATGGTGCTCAAACTAGTGATAGTAACTATTGATTTATTGATTTTTCTGAAATGTGATTTGATTTTTTGTCTTCTATATAGGTATTACACATACAGAAATTACACAAGCTGGTTTCATTCGTTGTCTAGCTCGTTTCTTTTATGATACACGTCTTAAACGAAATAAATATAAAGGGAATAAAATCAAGGAACAAGAATATTTTACTAAAGAACATACTATTGATGATCTTTATAAACTTGCATATCCTAAATATAATGAAGCAGAAGTAGAATTACATTCATTACCATTAAAATTTATTCTTGATTTTGTCATGACAGAAAATGCTCTGGTAGATTTTAATCCAAACACAAAGAAACTTTCACCAGCACATTTTGATAGTGAAGCATTTATAAACGGTAGTCGACGTATTCTTCAACTTAGAAAAATAGGTAACTTTTTTCAAATGATTTTTTCCATAAATTATATTTATATTTCTATTAGTTGTTAATGATGCACGTAATATCAAAAAAGATTTGACTAATGCACGTGAATCACTTGGACGATTGCTTCATACATTACAAGATTTTTATTCACATTCGAATTGGATTGAAATGGGCAACACAAATATTAATAATCTTATTGGAGTCAAAGAAAATATTGGTTCAGTTGCTGATCGAAATCAAGCAACATGTACAAAAAATGGTTGCACAAAAATAGAAAAGAAATGTGTAAGCAACATAAATACTATTACTTTTTTTTTTATTTCTTGAATTATTTCGATTTTTTAAAGACTCTTCTGCAACAAGCTACATTTAGAACATGTCCTCTTATATATTATGATTGCAAAAATAATATTTTACCAGAAATTAATAATAAAAAATTACTTACAAGTGGATATCTCTTTAATCAATCCAATGAAAATCATGATCCATTAAGTAAACCAACAACTGTTGAAAAATGTTCTCATGGCGGAGTGATTGATGATTCATCGAATGTACCAGCTTTTGGTGGAATTAATAAAGATTCTAATACATTGATCCTTTCACCTCATTCTAATTTTCAGTAAGTAAATAAATCTTATATCAACTCTTACATTGAATATAAGCAGAATATTAGAAGAGAATGTTTTGTTAGAATATGTTTGATGTATCTTGAAAAGATCTCAAAGATTTTAGATTTTTTTTTCTAGTTTTAAAGCTGTCGATTTAGCCATCAAAGCGACTGAACAATTTTTCAATAATCTACGGAAAGATGTTGGAAATAAAAATTTCGATCGACTTTTTGCTATTAATCCAACACAAGCACAACATCGAGATGCATCGAATGCAGTTCAAAATGGAACACGATTTCGAGTTTTTACATCATTTCATTCATGTAGTTTGAAACAAGATGATAGTCTTCTGACGGATTTAAAAAATTGGATCACAAAACGTATTAAAATGATGAAATCAATATTAAACGATTTGTTTTCTGACAAGAAAAATCTTTCTCTACCAACATATAATTTAAGTGACCTAAATGTTAATGTCAAAGATGTGAATAATGTTCGTGCAGCACCTTATCTTATTGAACATAGTAAAATCGGACGTAAGAAACGTTTTATTGATGTTCTTCGTAATCGTCAATAGATTAAAATAGACTATTCTTTTTTGAATTTTTTTCTTCAATTTTATTTTTAACATAAATAAATTATGTATTAGATTATCAACGAGAAACTATGACATAGATATGGATAAAAAGTATTAACAACTATAATAAAGATTACAATGACATAAGCTTAATCATTATAGCCAGAGTATATACTCTCGATAAACGAGAGGTTTTCAAGGACTATAAAATAGAAATTTCTTCTCAATTTTCCTACAGTTTCATGATGATCAAAATAAAAGAAAACACAATATCCACTATACTTTTTACTCTCGCATCCATATCCATGAAGCAATATGTTTCTGAATTTCCTGAGGAACTATCATAATTATCGCTACATCATCACTGCATTCAATGACTGATGAATCTTTTTTTCGTTCTCTTCTGTCGTCGTCCATTGGTAAAATCTGCGAGCAAACAATGAAATAAAGACAAGGCAATAGCAACGCTGCAGCGAGCAAATCGCTGTGTAATCGGATAGAAAGAAAAGAATGCAACGAATTTTCTATTACAAATAAATTTTAGAGCTACATTATACTAAACCAAATGATATACTCCATGTTCTAGCAATAACTAGCATATATCGAGTAAAGTTCATAACGAAATGTTACTTCAAATCTTATTGTCATGATAAGTGTGCTTATCTACAATATATGTGATCAAAGATTACAATGCGTTGTAACTTTTGAAATATCAGAAAAATCACAGTAATTCTCACTGCTTTCTACTGCAAGTCTAGCGAAGCGTTTAAATACAAGAAAAAGAAGCAGAACTTTTCAATGATTTTCATTTTAAGTGCTGTAAAATGCTTATATATAACAGAAGTCATAGTTTTTTACAGTAATATTGATGATAAATGCTTCGCAATGTTTGTAAAACCATTTTCTAACCTTGTTTCAACGGTTTATTCAAATGAAGCAGTTTGTAATGAGTAATATTAAGTGCTGTAAAGCAGTTTATTCAAGTGTCAACTTTTCCAAACCCTTTAGAAATAGCTTACAAAGACAAAAATATTCATTTAAACATAGTAAATAAGAGTATATAACTTTATGATTTTCATACCAATGGTTGTGAAAAAAAATTTTCTTTCAATATTGTAAATGTGAAACTGAAAACAAACTCAAACCTATGAAAATGTGTTCGATTCGATTTCGGTTGTATATATTGCTACGCTATGAAGCATAACTATCTATACAAATATTATTTATTTTTGGCTTCTACTTTTTTTTCTTTCTCTTCTTTTTTCTATCATTTATATGTAACTATCAACGTTATAACTACGATTCAAATGCAAAAAGCGTCAAAGTCATGACCAATACGTACTTACTAAATTGCAGCTTGATTCTTTATGGGACTTATTAAAAGAGCAAAAAATAGGAAGTAGAAGGATATATATTACTCATTAGCATATATATGAGTGTGATCAACTGACAGGATACCCCAAGATGTAGAATAGGAAATAATATTGTTCCAGTGAGGAGAATATAATGAAGTTGTATACCAAATGAAAGCTCATCAAAAATGGGATTTGTTGGTATTAAACAGAAAAGGTTTTGTGAGCTTTGTAATGTTGACTTTCGGAAATTTTGAGAAATTTTACACATTTTCGGCATAGAAAACTAATGCATCATTTATATATGGAGGAAAAACATGAGGTTTTCCGTGAAATTAGCTTGAAGATGAAGTACACTTTTCTGTTGTAAGTGAAAAAATTTTTATTTCTTGTTCATCAATTGGTTTTTCTTTTATCAATATCTTAGAGAAAAAAATACAACAATATAAAAAATTGTGTAGTTACAACAATGGAAACGAGATTTGTGTTGTTCTAAAGCAGCGATCATATCTTTATGACCAATTTCTTATGCTCAAAACGTTCTGAAAAGTTAAAACAGTTTGCTTTTTCGAGTGATGGTAATTGTTCATGTACTGTTTTGTGTCTATAATGGACTATTTAAACTCTATCTTTCTTTAGAAAACGAATATCTGTTAAGTTTAATTTGATTTCTTTTATAATAGTTTCCAGAAAAATATTAATGAGTCATACAATTGTTCATACTCGAACGATAGACTACACTCTATAAATTTCATATGAATATCATCAATTTTTTCTTCAAATTCAGATGATTTGTTTGTGAATCTATCCCATTATGAGTTGCTTAAGAGACGGCATAAAATTGATTTGACAATATATTCAAGATATAATGATGATATTTCTTGAGCTATAATAAAGACGTCATTAAGATTTAACTTTTCTTGCATCAGCGTTATTTCTTCAACTAATCAATTTGATTTTTACTCGAGTATTACCAAACATTTAACTGTTGCATGAAAAATTGTTGAATAGAATCGGCTATTTCTTTAATAACATTTTATAAATCATTTTGATTCAGTTGAGTTGGTTACTTCTCCACATCAATGAAGCTAAGGCACCGACATTCTTTGACATCCCCTGTTGAGGAGACCAATCAATATATAGTGTGTTGTTGATCTGTGTAAGAACAAAAATACTCATGAATTGATAAAAATAATTCCTTTCGTTTTTCCTGGTTGATATTCAATTTCTTGAGTAAAGTTTGAAATTTTTCATTTACTAATAAATACTATGCATATAGATATTGTGATTGTTTATCAAGTAATTAAATATCGATTCAAACTATCACAACGCAATGAAATCCCCAAAAGTGAAAGAAAAAAATCTCATTATTCGAAAATTAATCAATCAGAAAATCAAAAGGACGAAACCATCATTATAGAGGACAAAACTATTAGTATGACCATCGTAGCATTGTAAATGTTCTAAACTCATGTCGTTCAAACCGCTCGAAAACTGCTGGTTAATTGTGGTTCTTCTGCTTAGTTTTTTCCATATCTCAGTGCATGAATATTTTTAAACTCTTAGAAACTTGTTAGATTTCAGTCAAATCGCAACCCCCTTATTATTGTGAGTACGCTTAAGCCGTCTGAATCAGTCAAGTCGACTGTCATCCCTTAGTTTCCGAATTTAATTATTTTTTTGAACATGGCGCTACAAAAATAGTCATTAGCTAGACGACTTAACCAATAGGAAAAAGTGTGCGCCATCTGAGACACATTATACTGTGATATATTAAAGTCGACTTTTTTTGAATTGAAGTAGATATCTTCAAACTGAAAAGATTAATTTAATAGACCAATTCAAAAAACACTTGATAAAAAAAGGAATAAGCGAGGGTGTGGGGTGTGGGTGTGGGTGAAGGCTTAGAGTATATATGCCCACACACCCACACCCACACCCACCCTTGGCATACAATTGGCACAAATATTAACAATTGTATAACAACTCCATGCAACCAACTTTGAATGTTCATTAATAGCATCAAGTGGACGACCAGCATGTGCCATTGAAGTTTTCATTATTTCGAATAATTTTGGTATTATAGCAAATTCATTTAACTGAGAAAAAATTCAAAGAAGTCTATTGTATACTATTCGACAGTTATATGAAATAGAACAGACTCTTTTAAAATCTATCTTTGAATAACTGGTTTTAGCGGCTGCGTAACAACACCTTTATAAGATTTTCCTTCATAAAGAATGGATATACACATCGGCGGGCCAGCAGTAAAATATTTGGTGTGGCAATAATAATTTTCGGTGTGGCAATTGCTGGAAAAAATCGTTTTAGGGATCAATTTTTGTCAAATTATCGGTTATTCCGAATATTTTTGCTGTGGCAACTGCCACACTTTGCCATGCTGGTGGCCCGCCGATGGATATACATATCTGTATTATGAATAGTAATTACTTTCATTTGAAAACTAAGATTATCAATTGCCGTTTCAGCAACAGCAATCATGGCAGTCAAACGCATTCGTAAATCTTGATGAGACAATGCACGAACAAGTAATTGTGAATAGAGTTGTGTTGAATTTTTTACTTGCATATGAGCTGTGCGATTATTTAAAATAAAAATTTATTCTCAAAGATTTTATATATACCACAACAAAGTGAATAACCAATTGCAACAATAGCTTTGATTTTTTTTCTTCTATTATTACTGATTCATCTTCATCTTGAACTATTGTAGATAAAGAAAGAAGGACAGCTCGAGCTTGATTATCCATTGATTCATAAACATTAAGAATAAGATCATTAATTTCATTAATTTCTTCTTCTGAATTCGGTTTTCTTCGTCGTAAACGAAACTATTCAAGCCATGAGTTTTTCTATTTAGAAAAAAATTGCAATCGATCAATCTCTTTTTTTAGATTAAGAAATGGCATACTTTTTCGTATGATATTAGCACTTTAATACCACTATTGTCATATAGAAAACTCAAATCCATCTTGACACATTCAACATTCAATAAATCTTATTAACTGTTTCCTGGTTAATGAAAGTTAAAGAATAAAGAGAAAAAGCATTTGATCTACATTCTAATTTTTTTTGCTTGTGTAAAGAGAGTTTAGTAGGTACTGCATAATGGGTGCAGTAACGCAAAATGGACTCTTTAATTTCGTTTGCTGCACAGAAAATCAACAGACTAATTCTTTAATCATTCCAGTCCAAAAAATTTCTTCAGAAAAATCATCTGATTCTCAGTAAAAACATTGTTTATTATTGATCATTGTATTGAATATTTGATGTAGTCTAGTAGTATAGAAGGCAATAATCAATTTTCCTTATTAACACAAAAACAATGATTTATTATAAAAATATCAATAACTTTTGTATTGTTTTTAAAAATGTCATTTTGGCATCAGACAGTCTACTGTTCAACGTATCGTTTTAAAGTCCTATAAGAAAAAAAAATGATGTTTGATATATAACTTCTGACACGTGGTCATCGTAACCTGTTCGTCTGATATAAGTGATATGCTCAACATATTAAATGGAACATAGATCGAGAGATATTCATATCTATTGTAATGCTAATTGCAAAGTTTTTAAATCGGTGGTAATTAGGGGTGTTGCGTTCCCGTTCCGTTCCTGGAACGCGGAACGCATAATAATGGCACATAAAAAAAGCTAAGTAAAAGTATATAAACAGCTCGGTATATGTAAAAAAGTGCTAGAAAAACGTAATATGAGATAGCGTTCCCATTTCTTGGGAATGGAGCGCTTCAGAACGAGAAACGTTGACACTCCTAGCTCTATATTTGCAAATGATGATTTGTATTCGATATATTTAGAATGTTTGAATGGTAATAGTAATAGTAATTCTAAGTGCATAGTTGATGATATTTTTGTTATTAATAGGACTGTTAATTAGAAATTATGTTCCATATGTGAGATTTGATTAAAAAAAGGTCTTGTTACAAATGAATTTAAATTCTATTTTATTTAAGAAAATCAATGAATAATAAAAATAAATCTTGATGAATTAGCAGTTAAGGAAAAAGAGAAACAAAATAGTTTTCTTTGACGTATAGTGATGTCCTATTAACTTCAATAATTACATCCAAAGACGAAATCTTGATATCTGAATATCAATTCGACTATTTGGAAAACGAGTTTGAACCATTAAACGATAAGGTTCGATTTTTTCAGACGACGTATCGCCATGAATATCAAGATAGGCAAGTTGTTTTAATTGCTCAAATAATTGAGAAAGATCTTGTTCAAAGACAACTACATGTTCATCTAAATAATAATGATTTTATTAAATTGATTTTTTTTTCTTCAATAAATATGTTTAAATAACATACTGATAGATTGAGGCGTATGCAGAGTTCGTTGCCATTGTCCTCTTGAAACTCCATAATAGTATCCATATTTGAAGTTCGGTCGAACTTAAAGACATAAAAGACAAAAAGAATAATTATTACAGAAAAATTTTTGAACTGAAAATATTTTTTCTTTTTTGTTAAATAAACAAAGAATGAATGATTAGAAAATATACTGTTCATTTTTTTTATAAAATCGTCCAAAAAAAATCAAACAATCATATGTAATAAATACTTTTTTATATAAAATAAAAATAATTTGATATTTTTTTTTTATAGTTCTTTGACTACGATTTTAATTATTTTTTTAATGAGGTAAAACAATTCAAGGAGAAAATAAAGATTTTCTGAACATTAGGTTTTACTTTTCACACATTAGGTCTATATTATTGTGAAGCTCATGTGTTGTTCGACGAGGAATAGTTAACGGAAGTATAAGTCGAGAGTTTTACGGCTTCCACTCTGAACTCTATCAATCGAAATCAAAAAAATGAATAGGTATATACCAAAGAATAGAGTCCTCTTTCTTTATCAATTAAAATTCAGGACCAAGCAATAGATGACCTCTTCATACTCTTTCATGGTCACAATATCTGAGCATTAACTTAGCAATAGAGGAATTCAACAATAGAAATCCGTATCCCAAACAGAAAAATAAATAAGATAGAGCGTTTCTGTGATGATTAAACATGTATAGAAAAAAATTTATCGTTATTGGAGTCACTTGCATTTGAGAAGATATATCTTATATATTATTATAATAAATATGCGAAGGACGGATGAGTTTCAAATTTCATTTCATTATCAGCTACATTAATAAGATTTTTATCAGATATATTAACTTTATATTCAATTTTAGCTTGTTATATCAATATTAAATAACTAATAAAATTTTACTAAGCAATATTCAGAATTAAAATAAAAATTTTTTTTTTTATTGATAGTTCTAATTAACTATATTTTGTTAATAAATAAACTTACTCGATGTCCAAGGAAAATCATCTGGTCTCCAAAGACGTAATATTTGTAAATTAGGCATATAAGTACTGAGGAAAGGCACAAGATGTTTACCAGTATGAATTGCTTCATTTGTTCCAAAATTACAACTTGAAATACTAAATTCAGCATATTGAGCAGTATGTAATGCATTTTTTTCGCAAATGATCACATGTCTAAAAATAATATTGGAAAATAATTTCAATTAATCAGATAAAATTCTTAAAATTTTGTTTATCAATCAATTGAATTTATTTTCTTATCATTTTTACTCGTTTAAACAAACGTATGGGCAAAAACATTCGTTAGCGACGTGACAGCACAAAATTGAAACACGTATATCTCACGACGATGAACTTTCCAAGAGCTACTTTTCATATGTTGTATGTATGTTAACTTACTCTAGACATCCTGAAAATATCAGCCCTAGAGATCTTTGCTGAGAGGAGTTACTACTACAAAAACTAGCGTTAGCAATGTGACTCAAAAAAGGACATCGATTTTTATTTCATGCAGTTTAGTTTTAAAAAAACTTCGAATTAAGATAGCATTTTTGAAAACTAAATAGTACATTCTGTAGACAACGAATAGGACTTTATAACCGCTACTCAATGTTTTTTTTGACGTATGCATAGATTTTTCAAAAAATTTGATTTACTTTTCGTTAGCGACGTGACGAGTACGAATATACAAACGAAAAAATACTCTTATAACGGAATGAAAAGTTGAAAAAAATTCAAAAAGGTACAAATTCTTCCTCAGAATCTTGAGATGATGATAAGACAAAAATTTCTTTTTTCTGACTTGATGGAATCTCCAGAGAGCCGGTTTTTATAAGGAGAATTTTTGGAGTCTGATCTTGCTGAAAATTTTATCATAGATGTGGCTTAGACCGTAGAGTCTATCCTGAAATTTTTAGATTTTTTCGTCATATGGTTAGAGAGAGATTCACCAATTACTTCTTAGTTAATTGATTTTAATTAGGTCGCATTTGAAAGAGCAAAGATTTTTACATATGTCTACACTAAAAGAACTTATTCAGAAAAAAAACACTCTTATACAAAATCAAAATCAAATGAAAGGGCTATGTCCCGTTTTCTCTGATTTTGCCCTTATATATTATCAAAAACTAAAGTAATTTAAGAAATTTATTTCTAAGTCAAATCAAATTTTAATTATCTTATGAATATTTTTATATTACTCAAAAAATAATCAACTATATCTTATTTTTAGATTATTTTCATTCAATAAAGATTCAATTTTTTTCTTAAGATTAATTCAACTGTAATATCTTTAAGAAATCTTATCATAGAATTTAATGTAAAAGTATCTTAGAGCACAATGATTTGGACATATCTGTATGATCCTTGAAAAATTCTAACCGATAAAATAATAAGATTTTAAAAGATTTGATTGATTCGAATACATATACTGATAGTAATTGCAACATATAAGCATAAATATATGTAAAAATCTAAAATAAAATCAATACTTACATGTTCAATAACATATACCAAACATTGAAAGTTTTCAACAATAAGATATTTCAGTTGAACAGGCATTGAAATAAGACGGGCAAATATTTTTGCACGTGTTTCATCCAGATCTGTAAATTTAGTAACAGTAAGAACTAGAAAAATAAATCTTGTTTAGATTTTATTTATAATAAAATAATCCAGTTTCAAACCTGAAAAAAATGCGTCATTTTATTTGTTCTTTGTTCGTATTTAGAATGATCGCTTATCATTACTGAAGAATTACTTTATAAGATAATAGTGATGAAAAAGTTGAGGGTGTGGGTGTGGGTGGGTGTGGGTGCGGCTCTTCTCTTCACGCATTCACACCCACACCCGCATCCCATACCGCACGCCCACACCCACACACCCACACCCACACCCACCCACACCCACCCACACCCACACCCACACTCTTTGAAGAGAAGCGTACTCTATTTAAAATCGCGTCTATTCGACTGCGACATTGATTGCTGAAGAAGCAAAATTTACGACTCAACAGATTCATTTATCTTTTGATTCAAGGATGGATTGATCTGCTTATCGGTTGATTTACTCTTGGTATAAATACATCCACACCCTCAACTCTGAATTCATTTTTATTTATCAAATCGACTAAGATTGATTGCTGAAAGGCAAGAGTTGAGAATAGCAGATTGATTTGTATTACTGAAAAATATAGGTTAGTTTGTTTTTTCGACTGATGTACCTGCAAAACTGTTAGAACCACTGGTTTCGGACAATTGTCATCAGTTTGTCTTCTATACGTATTCTTCTTAGACAATTGAAAGGTAATGCGCTGAGTGTCGATACTTCACGATAGAATTCTTTCGAAAAGTGTTGTGGCAGTCGAGAGACAGCTTCCAAAATAAGCATTATACAAGCTTTCACCATTAAAACATAAGCATAATGAGGCTGCATAACACTAGTTTTGACATCCGAATATGTCAAATCATCAATTACAAACTTTTCATAGGCAGATGCACGGCAACAGTATTGAATGAGACGAGCTGTGGGTGCGTCTAACGTTTGTCCTTCGGCAATTGATTGAGTAAAAATTGTTCGATGATTGTTTTTCATGTCTAGCTCGACGTCCTACGCAACAAAATATGTGGAAGTAGGTCGATTTTCAGAGAAAAGATATAGGACATTATTATAACCAGTATTTTTCAAAAGAGATCGAAGGTAGAATTAGAAACCGAATGAGAAAGAGTCGATAAGTCAATATGTAACAATAGCTTTCTAATTCAGAGGAAATATGAAAACAACTTTCCGAAGAACTCACCTGTAGATCGTCCACTAATTGCATACCAAAGCCCAAATATTCCAGATATGCCATTTTGGCTCGTGTTAATCGACCTTCCATCAAAAATCCGGCCGCAATCAAAGACGCACCACCTTTCTCTGCGCTAACTTGTTCTATTTGAGGTATCGTCGGTGCATATCCATCGTCAGGGCGCGCATGTTGTAACGTTGATTTTATTTGTGAATCATGAATAGCGGCCAAGCTCATGTATACACATTTATGCTCACCATGACGTGTCCAATCATTTTCGATAAATTTCACCATATCAAATACCTTTCCAATTTTATCTGCATAAGACTGTAACGATGATGGCAGTCGCAATTCTGCTACATTCGATTGTTGTCCATTAAAATGCGACTTCGGATCATAGTTCGATTCGCCGATGAGTAATCGTTCATGGAATACTTCTGCAAATTCTTTTTTCGCTTTTTGAGACACAGTAGTACAGTCGACGAAATCATCTGTATATGGATAGAGCATATTGTAGCCGAAGATCGAATCGGTCATCTTCAATGGTAAATTAAACTGTACTTCCATAGCTATCATGGTCCACAGAAGGCGACCTGCTTTGAACAATTCATCGGGGTTGATCTTCTGATCATATCGTTTTCCTCTGTTCACAAAGCCTAAAGTGGTGCGAACGAATGTTTGATAGATTTCGTAGAAAGATTCGTTGTGTGATGAAGGCATATCGAATATATCATTGAATACAAGAATACCTGTGAACAAATAGTTTTGACTGAACTATGAATTGTATATCTTGTCTACTTCTAATATCCTTCTTTAAAAATACTGGTAATTTCTCACCTCTAGAGTATATTTTCTGTTTGAGACAGGTTCGCTTCAACAATTTACTGCACATATACAATACTTTGATTTTTCGAAAGATTTTTTGCTGTTGTCGAGGTGTACGTCGTTGGACAAATTCATCGTTGATATTTGACAAATCGGCTGGTAGAGAATACCACAACTTGAGTGTATTGTCATAGTTCAATTTGAGTCGCTCCTTAGTAAATTCTTCGTAGGTGTTGAATTCGAAGAGAATATCTTTATCATTGGCATTGAAAGGAATCTCCATCTAGAAGGAGAAGCTACATATGACTAGCGGAGAAAGAGCATTGTCCTGGATTCCTTTTACTACTCGTGTTCCTAGAGCAAGCAGTATATTCACATCTTTATCTTCAAATCAGTTTATTGCACACCTGTTTATCATTATTCTATTCTTCTCCGCCAATCCTAATTGCTTAATTTGAGGATAAGAGAGTGTAAGTTTAGATCTGATAAACAGAAAAACACTTACGCATACCCATCGTTTGAGTGAAAGATATCCATTTATCACCATCATTTAAAGTCAGCGTCACATATTCTACCTATACTTGACGTTGTAGAAAAATTCAAAAGCAGTAAACTGTTACATATCGTGTTGTAATATTATCTCTGTTACTGAAAGAGATGTGAGGGAATAATCGATAAGTCGTGATCTATTCGGACATCTCGTCTAATACACTTTCAGATAATAGATGCTGTAACGGATCAATTTTATCATACATTCGCTAGGAAGGATCCATCTCTATTTGAAAAAAGTTTAAGTACAAAAATGACTTGCTAGCCTTCTCATGATGAGAAGAAACACACCATGATAATTTGTGCTTAACTAATGGAACAATCTGCAGCTTGATAAAAGTCGTAGTAATTATCCTAGAGATTCAACGAAAAGATCTTGGCCAAGTAGACTAATTTTTCAGTTTTTTCTGATGATTCTTCAAATTCCATGTTAAACGATCTTAAGAGAGACTTCGCGAGATCAAGACCATTTGCCTCATACGAAAGGACTGCACTGGATGTCATGAACCATGACCAATCAGAACATTTAATATTCATTTTTGTGGAGCAGCTCGCGGCGTATC